AGCACAGATCAGCTCTAGGCATGACGAAGTGGATATCGTCCTCTTTTGGAAGACCAAACAAAGTAGTTTCGCTTTCACAACGAAGCACACAGCGTCTTCACGACATGGCTGCAGCGTCAACAATACTACAGTGAGACTAAAAGTTACACCTTCTTTCTTTGCGTGAACATTTGGGCGGCGTTATGCAAATCTTCCCACATAGTGAGGTAGATATGTGGGGGCGTGTTAGAACGAGCCGTTTTAGGTAAATGTGGCTGACTCTGAACTTTTATAAAGAATATCTCTTTGGATTTGAGACTTTAGTCTTTGCAACTTTACAGATCTTCTTTATGCACCAAGAGCTTGTAACACTCCAAAGAGAAAGAAAAAAATTGAAATCGCATCATATGAACCCTTTAACATTTAAACATTTGTAAAACCACTTTACCATTAAAAATATTAAAAACACTTTCCCAGGTTTTTTTTGTTGTTGTTGTTGCTCACAAAAACATGACTTCAGAAGGCTTGGAATATATAATGCTAAGTCATATGCACTACTTTTCTGATGCTTTTTTCAGTCCCTTAATGCGATTTGCTTTCATTGTCACCATTCTGACTAACATCTATGGCTGAAAAAAAGTCATAGGGCTACAGTTTTGTAATGACATAAGGGTGGGAAAATGTCATTTACAGGTGAATTTTTCCTTTAAGACGTAGATCAGGTTGCATGAGTGTGTTCGAACCCCTATGCATGTGAACAGAGTTGAAAGTGTGTTTTGGCGGGGCGTTATGTTCCCTCTTCACACTCGTTCTACCCAGGGCGCATTAATCATCTCATGCCGCCTGTTGCTGTAACACCTGGTGGAGAGATACACTTACACACACTTACACACCCTTTCATTCATCGCCATCCACCCTCGCTGTCCACCCTGAGTGTTCTCTTGTCTGGCAAGCTAACCCTGGGTTGACCCCTGACCTTTATGCACACTCGATTGGCTGTTTAATGACGCATTTAATCAGGCCGCAGATCAACGACCGCCAGAAGGGTTTTAGGTACCTCATAAACAATACACAAACTCACTCACACACATGGATGGAAGCACAAATTAAACCATTATCGCCACTGTACAGTAAATGCTAAGCGCACACACACATGCACATACAGCAATATATCAAACACACATTTAAAACGCATATTTGTATCAAAAAACACGTCCTCAAATTCACATCCCAACCAATCACATTAAAGGAATACAGCACAACACCAAAGGATAATGGGAAAGCAGTGCTAGCTGATGGTTAAACGGCAACAGAGCAAGAGCAGTTCTGCTGAACTCATATAAATACAGTGAGAGACAGACAGAGGGAGAGAGAAAGCCAGGAGAAGAAAGAGACCAATAGAATCACATGAAGAGTGACAGACAGACAGAAAGAGAGAAAAGGTCAGAAAGAGAGACCGTACAGACAGTGAGAGACAGGTCGAGATAGAAAGACTGGTAGAGAGAGAGACAGAAATCAGGGCTGAACAATAAGGACTGCACTATTACCTGGTGTTAGCGTGAAAGACGCTCAGGAAAGTTGATGAAATTGTCATTCCATAAGTTTATAATTTGCACATGTTTTTAAGTCTTCTTTCGCCATTCAAGTGATTTAAAACCGTTTAAGAGGCGAAAGAGAATTCTCCAAGACTGGCATTTGGGCATATTTTTGTCTGTTTTTGTCCGTTAAAGTGCAATAAGGCGCGAAAGAAAACCGTTTCTTTATGGCGCTTTAACG